TATCGTTGATGATGAAACAAAGCATAATGCGTAAACTTAAATTCACTAGAATTTTCATATCTTGCGTCCTATCTATGCGGATAACTGCATCCCTATTCTACTTGGCTATTATCACGTTACGAATACTTCGAAGTACATAGATATATCTATACATATGTATAATGCATTGTTTCATATATAAAATATACATTTTACATATGAATCGCTGCTTACAAATATTAAATGATAAATAATTTAAATTTCAATTAATCGGTGTTTCTCTATCAAAAATTGAAAACCTATAGTCGACTGCAAGTATTATTCAATATTCACAGAATATTTGTATTTTGCTAAATTTTGGTTGTACTGTAAAATTGAATACCTTTTTCAAAATAAGGTTAATTTTACAATTTCAGTTGAAATATTCTTATATAACCGATTAAACGAATATTATTGATACATACTACTGAAAAGAGGATATAATCAATTTTAGCGGCTATATGAGTCATGTTTGTATTGAGGATCACATGATACTTCCTGTAGCTTGTGTCTCCAAAATAGATAATTAATTATTCAATCAATAATATTTAAGTCAGTATCTAATTTTTACATAAGAATTTAATTTTTGACTCAGAATACTTTAATTACTTCTTTATTATTCATTCATCCTTGTGCTGCTACGGATCACGAAAAATATATTCTCTTTGCATTTAAAACTTCAATGTCATTCTATGACGAATAGTACGCGATTCTAATTATTATATGCACATAATTATTAGACTGCACTGAGAAGTGAGACATTCCATCAACTTCTACATATTAACATCTAATATTCCTAGTATCACATCGTACGTCCATTACTTCATGATAAATTTTGAAAAAATGTTTGGAATATTAAGTAAATATGTACATAATTTTCAAGAGAAGAACATAGGAACGTATCTTGAGGAACCGGTAAGGTAGGGAGTTGTACGTGGTATCATATGTAAGATCTTAATGAAAAAAGATCTTAAACTAATTTTTAATAATGTGAAAAATATCATGTAAACAATATATGGGATGTGTATAAGGATAGATTTAACAACTCATTAAGAATAGACCTAACATGTAATGTATTGCAGGATTTCATGACCGTAGAAATCTGTAGTACCGACATCTTTAAAGTTCTAATATGTAATTTTAGCGTCCTCTACATTATATGACGGTGCATTAGGGAATTACTCTTACTTCTACAGTATTGCCGAGTCTAAAGCTGCAACGTTGTCAGATTATGTTTATTTAAAAAATGACATAATTTGACAAGTTCATACATACATCCTTTGCAATTAATTGTCAAAAAAATTGGATCATTTAATCTTCCTTAACTTAAAAAATTCTTAGTTTAAATTAACATATTAAATAATCAGTTTATCATTTAATTACTCACAATAACGAAAAGTACTGTAAAAAAGGTTATATGTATATTAAGATTTACCAGTTGCCAGAAGATAATTATATATGTATTATAATTATACATATATTATGTATGATTAAAATGTAATAAAGAAGGTACAAAAAGAAAGAAGGAAAAAACTTGTGTAATGTCTAGATAAGTCTTGTAGATAAATGCAAAGATTAATAATATCGCATGTCATGTTCCATTAATGTCATATTCATTTTTAAACCAAAGCAACGCATATATTTGTTCCATCTACATACATAATCGTATTAAACATACGTAACATAAATGAATTATATAATGTTCCATTCGTGCTAATAAAAACGAGAACTTGTGCTTAATCGGTAACGTTGATGTGACACTACCATGGTAACTGGAACTCCGGAACAGTGGTTCTCAACCGATGATACGCGTACCACTGGTAATATGCGAGAGATGACTGGTGGTACGTGGATAATTTATGCAATATACCTCGCCGATCCGTCGAATTTTTATCAAAGAATTGGAGACAAATTTAGGTTTGTTAAGTCTTCTATAAACTTTCGATTGACAACTTTCTATCAACTTCCTTGGAGCAAATTTAACACTGAAAGATGAATTAATAAAATCAAATATAAGAAGTTATTATATTTAATTCATCAATTATACGTTTAAAATTGAATAAAATCAAAGCAAGTATATATCAAAAAAATTAGTGCCTGTCAAAAATGCACGCAGTCTTGAATTCCTATTTGATTACATGACATATTGTTTTGGTGGTACACATTCATAAAATGGTTGAGAACCGCTGCTCTAGAACCCCCAGAGAAGAGTCACGAAAAACATTGGATGCTAAGTTTATCCTTATATTATGTACCTTGTCTGTGATATAAATTTTTAACAGTGGTAAAGTAGGAGTAATGTGCTATGATTCACCACTTCAGATTACAAATTTTCCATGATATCTTTCAATCGTCATAAATGTAATTATGCTTGACAGTAAAACACGTCATAAACTGTTGTTGTTTAATGTATTAGGGACACTGTAATTAGGTGCACAATCCCAACTGTGATCGTACAATGAAGTGACTACATATTCACATACATATGCAAAAGGATTATTTGCTGACGGTTTGGAATTATCGACACCATAAAATATGTCCTATTCGAGCGCACTCTATTCCTAATCAACGGTAATCCAGTGAACTACTTCTTTGCAACGGGGACACATTAGAGAGCAATGCCTAAGAAAAGTTGGCAGTGTTGTCAGGTCTAAAAAATGAAAAATTGTTGCATCTAAAAGGAGGGTAACCTCATTCTGCGTACCACCAGGGTTGATAGAATTGTAATATGTAATAAGGCAAACAGTAAAATCGCAGTAAAAATGTTTAGTTTTAAAAGTAATTCCATTAAATATTCATATATACTTATGCTTAATTTATTTAAAAACGAGTATTATTTTATATAGTACATAAATAATCGATGAGAAATAAAGAGCGTATTCTGTATTATAATAGCTGTGCCCAACAGATATGTCTCTTCAGACAATGTTTGTAAGTGTGTAGGTATATGGCATGAACTCACTTATGGATAAAAACGGTTTTTGTGGTCAAGGTGAAATGAAAAAATTAATAAATAAATAGAATTTTTACCATAAATATAAGGTAAAATTTTAGTAGTACAGAGGTTACTTTCATTACGGACACAAAACTTTCTGGAATGAAATAGTTTTCAACGAAAAACTTTAATTTATGGCAAACAAGTTTTTCTTCATTTGCGTCAGAATCTGCACAAACTGCATTCCGAATTCTGTACCGATGACAGTACTGTAAACGGACAAACTTTTCAACATAAAATATCCTCTAGTATGTAATTTGTGAGCGATCTATTACTGTTTTTGTTTTACGTTTATCACAAAAATACTGTCGATAAAATTTAGTTCTGCTGATGTTGCCATTCAAATCTAGCAGTGCTAGCGATTTTTTTCGCCGACAAAAGTGTTAAAAACCAGTATTTACTTTTTGCAAGAGATTTTCGCATAAAGTCATTTTAGCCACAGAAGGAGCTATGACGGCAAGAAGGATACGTTCTACATTTACGTAAGAATAATTTTCTGCTAAAATGAGTAATGCAAATGAGAATTGCATACTTCTTGACACTTATCAGTGTTTCTCAGTTCACGGTTTTTTATGCGTACCATATTTTCAACGTATATATATTTATATTTTCAGGATATACTAGTTATCTGGTTTAGTTTATTACAATAAAAATATAACGAAGATTGTTATTTGTATAAAGTCACTTATATAAGATGTTATAAATATATTAAGATATTTGAGAATCACAACGGAACATGTTCTTCTTCGTCTTTCGTCATTATCGTACTTATTTTGCACAGCCACGTCTTCTTTTGAAGATGAATTTACGTACGGACCATGGTACAGTCAAACATTGCGTAATTTTTCTGATGAACTGTGTGGACTCTAGTAAAATGACCTGCTCAAATAATCAGTAAATCACTTCGACGTGTATCTACATCTACGAGTCTGAATAGGACAAAGTTCACCTATCGTTAGATATAGGAACGCTCTTAGAAAATATGGTAATAATTATGAACATATGAAATACTCACATACATAACAATTATTATACACTGACATTATATTATTGTATTAAACTAGTACTTTTGACGATAATAAAAATAAGTAAAATTACTTTTGAAAATTATTTATTACATATAATGCCACGTAAAAATTTCGCTTCGTACAGCATTAGAATAATAAGAATACAGACGTTATCCAACAAAGGTTGTAAATTTTCCACGTTACGGTTATAAGAGTTCTAGCATGATGAAGTTTATATATTTGCATTGGTGGGATTTAAAATTTATCGTATGATTAGCCAATAGGTTTCTATCATATTCCGTAAACTAACCTGTACAATTATTAAATTCTAACAAATTTGTATGTATATATAAGAAATGAATGTATCATGAAACTTCTGAAATGTGTTTCTAAAAAATACGTTGTACAATATCTACATGATTATTTAAAATAAATAATGTAGCAAGATAAAAAATTATTACACGATTCAATTTGAAAGAATTCGTGAAATGCTAGCACTACGACATACTTGAATGAAACGTCCGTCAGATGTTAGGTACTGTTAGTGAAAGTTACCATGCTTTTCCATTAATTGCATTTATTCTGACGTTCTAAGTTTCTCCTCGCGTGCACGACAGCAATTAGCTGTACATACTTACAAGTGTAAGAATGTCAATACATATGACATATCTATCCTTGTCACGTGATAAAAAAAGGTACGGCAATCCTTCCTATAGACTACTATAGAGTATAGAGTATAGAATATAGAATATAGAACATCACTATATTATTTCTTAGATCTAATCACCGACTAATGACAGAGTATCATGTGAATACAGCATATTGTTGTCTTCATTACTGTTCTAAGTCTCTAAGTCAATAATTTTATATTTCCCTCTTTTTATTTACGCGCTTGTTTGTCCCACCAAGAATCTACGGTCGTTCCAGCAGTCTTTACGAACGTCCTTCTCACTGAGAAGTTCTCAGTTCACGACGAACCAGCGAAGTGCGGCATGCGAGTTGGTTGCTTTACCGTATTCCCAATAATAGTACAATATTTGTATTAATAATAAAGGTGTTTTTTTTCGTCACGAAGCTTTAAAGTGAAATCTTTGGTGAGAAGTTTCGAGTAACAAATCAGGATGGTGTCGGATGTAGCAAGTTTCTTCAATGGTAAAACTATTTTTATGACCGGCGGTTCTGGTTTCGTCGGAATATGCCTGATCGAAAAACTATTGCGGTCTTGCCCCGATTTAAAGAATATTTATGTATTATTACGACCGAAAAAGGGGAAGCAGATAGAGGAGCGGCTGGAAGAACTTAAAACTAATTCGGTACGATAGAAAAATGTCTCAAATGCTGTTCTTAGTGTAACTTTAAAAAACTTGGAAGTTGCGATATCCTTCGCATTAATTTGCATCCTTAATGTTTGTTTTGAAGAATGTATGGATTTCGGCACCAATGTTATTATTGATTTTTGACAATATTTTTGCTTTAAATACCCTTCCTAAAATATACCACGATTTTTGTTTTTGTCATTTTTTATCGAGCAAGATATTTGTTAGGTGGTCGTATTTTCAGTTTCAACGAGTACGGACAGAAATAATAATTATTTTAATGTTTTCTTGGCGTGTATTCACTTTACGCTTACTAAAGCGATTAGTAGGGTTTTGCCACGTGAAGAATCTATCATCGGTCAATGACACTTCGATACGAAATGGAATTTCATTTTCGTTAAAAAAAAAATTCATTTACAATTATAAAGTTATTATATCCATGTTATTTTAAGCTGGTTTGAATGTTTACTTGACCTTCTTAATGTTTCAAAGATGCAAATTAACTAAAACACATGTATTTTAAGAGTTGATATTTCATTGTTTGGCTTTACAATTTTAGGTATTTAATAAAATGAAAGAAGAAAACAAATCAGATCTGTTGAAGAAATTAATACCTGTTGCTGGTGATGTGGGAGAAGATAATCTGGGATTGTCGCCTGCAGACAAGTTGACCTTGATCGATACAGTTCAAGTTGTTTTTCATTCTGCAGCATCATTGGATTTTGAAGCAGATTTAAAAATTGCTGCTAATATCAATTTATTGGGTACACGTAGAGTTGCTAAGCTTTGTCAAAAAATAAAAAACCTCAAGGTGAACTACTTTATATACGTTAAAGAATTTTTCCTGGTACATTTAATGAAACCAGTTATGTTAAATAACAGAATTGAAACTGCGGAATAATTCAGTTTTGTTTACAATTTAGGCAATGGTACACGTTTCTAGTGCCTATGTCAGTGCTTACATGATAGAAGTAGAGGAACGCATATATCCTGCTCCATGTGATGTGGAGAATTTGCTCACACTAGTGAATAAATTAGATGGCGCTGCTTTAAATATAGAAGGAGAAAAACTAATGAATAACCATCCAAATTTTTATACATTTACAAAACATTTGGCTGAACATGAAATTAAACATGCATCCATTCCAGCTGCTATTGTGCGTCCTTCAATGAGTATGTACATTACATACAAAAATATATCTATATTGCTCAATGCTTTCTCTCAGACTTAAGGTAACGGTATGCAAATGTATGGTATATCTATTACTCATTATCATAATTTGTACTTACAGTAACAGGAGCATGGAAAGAACCACTCCCTGGATGGACAGTATCAAAAAATGGTCCACACGGATTTTTGATGGGTGCTAGCAAAGGTGTCATACGAAGGTTGCCAATAGAAAAAAATTTAATTTCTGATTATATTCCAGTAGATATTGTTGTAAACTGTCTTATTACTGCAGCCTATGTAGTCAACAGAGATGGGTAAAAAGAACTTTTATCATTGAAATAAAAGTTTAATTAATATTTACTGTCGCAATATATTAATAATATATATGTATATATATTTCTATTATAGTGCAACAGAGCCAAAAGTATTTCATTGTACATCCAGTACAACTAACCCTTTCAAATGGTTACAAGTGGAGTCAAAACTTAATAGTTATTTACATAGATTTCCATTACGAAATGCAGTGTGGTATCCATATTTGAAAATGATGCCTTCGATATTTATGTTCAGACTCTCAGCATTCTTCGTACATTTCATCCCTGGGTACATTTTGGATGGAATTACTAAGTTAGCAGGAGGAAGACCAATGTATGTCGTAAATTAAGATTTAATAGTGTTGCAGGGTTCTGCAATTCACGCACAGAACAAAATTGGCAAAAAATTTATGTTTTCAGATTAATAAAACTGCACACGAATGTCAACAACTCTCTGGATCGTTTGAGACCATTTATCTTTACCGAATGGAAGTTTCACAGTCCTCGTTTGACTGAGTTACATAAATCTCTGTCAGAGGATGATAAACAGATATTCGATCTAGATATTAAGCCATTAGACTGGGAAGAATATTTTGTAAACTTAACACAAGGAGTCAGAACATATCTAAGCAATGAATCTCCAAAAACGTTACAAAAAGCACGTTCCAAAGATAAAATGTGAGTTATTGTGAATATATGTTACTAACAAAATTGCAAACACGTAATTTTGTTATTTATACATTATTATACTTTTCAGGTTAAAGTATGCACATATAGGCTTACAAGCTACACTGTTGGGACTTATTGGGTGGTTGGTGAAATCTCTGTTTGCCACTACTTGGGCCACGACGGGTCTCGTTGTCCTACTTACTTACTTCATTTTCGACCAACTGTAAAAGTTATGAACAGAACATACTAATCTGAAGGCATGGAACATACTGGAAGAGATTTCCATTTCTGAACACGCGTGAAACGTCCAGCATATATTTATATTAATATGGAATGAAATGAAATGAATGCACTGCGGGTGGGATGAAATTTATACATTTTCATACATTTTCATCAAGTACCGTTATATTCTAATGGTGTTGGGACGTAAAATGATTAAAGTATTATGCTAGAACACTTACTATTCTAAATCATTTTAATACCTAACTATTCTTTGTACCAGAAACATATAAATACAACATGTATATAGCCGAAGATAAAGATTGAATAATACATATATATCGTTACTTTTACATCAGATTAACAAACTATGTAACTTTGTACATGAAAAAATGAGATTATTTTATTTTGCAACAAAATAATTATTCTTTTTGCAGATCTGACAATTTCGACATAATTTTTAAATCTTGTTATAATTTGTATACATTTATTTCTACTTCTTTTGTAAATCACATCAAAAACCATTGTAAAAACATTAGTAAACACTTTTTTAAATACATTCCATTTTATTTCTTATAAGTATCTATTGTTTAATTTAATCTTATTGACAATCCTGATAGTAATATATAGCTTGAAGTATGTAAAATTAACTATTGATATTGTAAAGGTAGTTAATTAAAACAAAAGCATCCCATTTGTAGGTTTTAAAATCAGTAAATTTCGAACAGATAAGGAAAAACTGTAGAAAATATTTGAATGTTTACACCAAGAAAAAGTAAACAATATTATTTTCTACTTAATATAGATATAAGATAAATACAATTTATTGTAAATGCATCGTTAATGGACATTTTATTAATGTTACTTTTTACATGTTCTTGTTTTATTCGTTTTTATATCTTGCCTTGCATTTGTATATTTGTAACAGATAAATTCAGAATAGATGTAGCTTCATAAATAGTCTATCAAATCTACCTTTTGGCTGGCGGCTTACAATTTCCCTTGCGGGAATGCCTTACCGTATGAGCCATCTCGTATCCTCAGGATTCTGGGAATCGGGTGACGTCACGGCGTGCGAGCGAGAGCGGTAGAGCGAGCCGTGGTATCGGTGCTCTCCGTTGGTGTTGACACGTGCCGAGGAACTTCAGGGGTCTATGGGGGGAGATGTGCGAGCGAGAGAGTATGGTAGAGTGTGCCGCGGTATCGGTGCTCTCCGTCGGTCCAACGCGCTAGTGGGAGGTCGCAAGGAGAAGGTCGTTCAAGCCGGCAAAAACAATTCAACAGGAACAAACCTGCGTACGCCCAATACATAACGGCGTTAGCTTCCTCACTTTCTCGTGAGCCGTCGCGGAGGGTGGGCGCGTGTCTCAACTCGTCCTTTCTCTTGTTACTAACCTATTGTTTGTTGCAGACATTCGACAACCATCAATTTATTTACTGTGCATATTGTTGTGTCCCCTCTCTTGTTACTAATCCCTTGTATGTTACAGATGTTCGAGAACCATTGGCTTCGATATTTATCTTCTTATGTACTGTGATTCATTTACTGTGATTTATTTACTGTGATTTCTATACTGTGATTTATTTACTGTGCATATTATTAATCTATTTACTGTGCATATTGTTGTGTCCCCTCTCTTGTTACTAATCCCTTGTATGTTACAGATGTTCGAGAACCATTGGCTTCGATATTTATCTTCTTATGTACTGTGATTTATTTACTGTGATTTATTTACTGTGCATATTATGTATTCTATGTGTATTGTATAATGAAAAATATTTTTCCAAACAGTTATTCCATCGAAAGAAGACATCGATCAACGTCTACATCTTCAAAGCGTGCGTCTACCACTGCGTTAAGTTACTGTAAGTTAAACTTAAATCATAATTCGATATTCATTGTTATATTCATATTCATCATCACATCGTTTATTATTAATTTTAGTCTATCTATTAATAGACTTAAATTGTGATCAGCCATTGTGCATACCAAGTTATTATTAATTCATTTTGCTCGTTGATTTCTCTACACAGACTTGGGGTATGGGCAGTGGGTCTGTACCTATTATGGTACGGGCAGTGGGCCTGTGCACTAAGACTGTTTGCCGATCCCTCTGGTTTCTATTGAGAAGCCAGATATCGGACGTGTTTAGTCTTTGCCTGGTAAGTAGGATTTGGAGTAAAGGCTCGTGCGCGCCTGGGTACAACGTACCCGCCTACGGAGTAGTCGGGAGTCTGCTCCGTAAAAGGACTCTGTTTTACAGGGGATCTCGCTTGCACTACCATACTTGGTCATGACCTGTGCTCGGGTCTGGTACGTAGGTGACCAGCCCAAAGGGCCTGGAAAGTGAGAGATGGATTCGGGTTTGCGAGGTTGCGCCCGTCTTTCCTATTTTCTTAAACCAGGTTCTGGCGACAACACTTTCATCGCGATACTTGTTCATACTGTAGTTTAACGTGGTTCATCGTAGAATTAATTTTTGGCTTGGTATATTAGGTGCGTAAACGAAATGATCGATGGAACTTTTTCCATTCCGTCTATCTCTTTCGTTTGAGTATTAGCGACTACATTGCGTTAAATTTGTTATTTCGTATTACTAGCATTAATTCGTATTAATTAGAATATTAAGATAATATTAGTTCTAAGCTGAAGAACGAAGACAACCGACGAGGGAACTTAGTTTTTTATAGGTTTAGGCTCAAGAAAGAAGTCATCCGCCGAGGGATTTTAGTATCGGTAGTATTATATAGTTAAGATTTAAGTAATTTATAAGGTTTATTGTGAAAGGTGGGTAGATGTAGAACTTGTGATTCCATCTACTTGCCTTGGGCCTCCACTCGCAGCAACCTCCTCGTGGTGAGGCCTGGGCAATCTGTATTATCATCGGTTAAGTACTGTAAACTGATGACAATACCGAGCTAATGGCTGCGAACTTCGAATCTATCTCATAAAACCACGTTCTATATTACATCGAACTAGGATTATTTTATCCAGAACTAGATCAGGAAGTTGCAAGTTTAGATCCACTTTCTACTACCAGGTGATTACCATAAAAATAAAACAATGTTTCAAATTATGGTAGCCACCTGGTGACGGAAATTGGAACTAATTCTTAAACTTTTCCAAACAGCACGGGAACTGCAAAATTGATAAGTGGCGCCACCGGGCTGCGGTATCCAAAACTAGATGAAAAAGTTTCAGACTTAGTTCTACTTTCCGCCTCCAGGTGACTATCATAATTTAACACATTTCACGATTTCGCAGTTTTCCCGTGCATTATCAGATTCAAACTTCGCGCGAAATTTAACGATAAATTTCTGTTTGACATGACTTTAACTAAATTCTGCAATTGTTATTATTTACTTTTCAGATTGAAAAAATTACAAGATGTAGAATTTACAATAGTATTTTTATAAATTCAATAACAGTCGGCTTAAATATTATTCAGACTTATAAAATGGTATAATTAATTCATCGCAAATAATTCCCTTCTCTGTAACTTGCAAATCTTCCGTATGATCCCCAAAGCTTCATAAACTTTTCCTAAGTTGTTTACTGAAATTTCCATTTCTGTCGTCATACGATAGATATCTGTAATAAATTGCAGTATTCCTCTGCCACGCAATAACCGCAGCTACAATGGTGATTGCTGCAGATGTATCTTTTAAACAGAAGCATTGGATATTTTTATTTCCATTTATTTGGATATTTTAATACTCCGTTTGTGCTAATAATATTCAAAATTCATGCTTTATTGATAACATCGGGTATTACACTAAAATTGAAAAGGGGCTCTAGAGCCCCCGAAGCATGTGACAGAAAATTACATACATTGGATGTCAGGTCGGTTCTATATCTGGTCTCTAGGGGAACTATTACAGAATGAGGGTAAAGAAGTCCTAAGTTTCACATTTATATAATATTTTAGACTCCACTATAAAATCAATATAGCAATCCTTACGAAAAGATGCATTTATAAAAGCTGGAGAAAAAAGTATGAATTTTTTAATTTAACAATCAAACTACACATCTTCACTTAACGCACTCTAAGGAAGCTAATACCGAAATTTGATCAGTTTCTCCAAATGACTGATACGACTGAAAGTTATAATATTTTAATTACAAAAGAAAATGTTTGAGAGTTCAATATCTATATTTTTAAACGTTCTCCGACGACATTCAGTGATAAATACGTAATACATTCTTACTTTCGAAATGTACCCCAACAGGTTGAACTTCCGAAATGCTAAAGCACGACAAGGACTTACATTCATTCAAGGCCGAACAATGAGATCCCTAGGCATTTGGTTGACCTGGATTCGTATGCATGGAATAAGAACTTTCTTTTATGCGAAACACGTGACTGCATTCATTTCAATATTGAGACAGTAACGAATAAAAATGACTGCACTCATTGAGTCTTAAATTTCTTGGAAAATAGTAGATTATCCTAGAAAATATTGTGCAGCTTTAAGTCACATTGTTTTCTGTTAATATACTTTTGTACAGCACTAAACAAACTCCCGCGTAAAATGACAAGATCATAAATTAGGATACAGTGTACTTTGATGATGGGAATTAATTATTGTTGCTCTTATAACTTAACAGTTTGGCTATCAGAACAGTTTTTGAGGGTTTATTAGTATAATCATATATTCGTTATAGTTCATTCTTGCGTCAAACTTTAACGAAATTTATTCCATTCAACATTTTAATAAAACCATTAATATATAATTTCAAGTCGAAACTTGAATAAACCGTATGAACTAACATCTCGAAACACATAACACTTTCTGAGACCTTTTAATAGCTTCGACAAAGTTCATGCTATTTGTCACGTATCATTTTCGGACGATTTTGTAATCTTGTAACGATTTCGAGGTAGTCACGAAATTAATTAATATTCGTTGCTTATTTTGCGTATTAAGTTTTTTTTTGTTCCGGGGATCGCCCATGATTACGTAGACTCCGAACGGTTTTGCATGTTCGTCTCTTTTTCGAAATATCTTTTTCATCCTTCGACTATTTTCGGTGTCGTTGCAAAACGAAGGTTATACTAATAAGGATCGGGGATCAAAAAATAGAATAAGATTCACCTTGTTCATTGTCGTGCCTTTTGCTTTATTAAGATATGAAACTACGTTAGCAGTCACAAAATGATCGATGAAAATTCTGTGAATGCAGAATAGAAGTTTTATCGTTAATTTTGCTTTTGATTACAACAATTTGAGAATTACTTTGATATAAATCGTTGAAGTTTATTACAATTGATTTTCTCCCATTTAACCCTTGTGTAGGCAACCGGGTAT